AAAAAATCATTTTCAAAAGTTTATTCATATTAATTGAAGGTAAATTATTTATAATGACTAAGTAACAGACTATACACTTATATCAATTGCTTTTCTTAAATGAATTGCCTTGGTGGACACTATACATGATAGATGAACCCTAAGAGGTGGAGGCGCAGTGCTTTAATTCTCCTTTCACTTCCAATTAATCACCGTTGAAGAGGATAGGAATCGCCAAACGGCTTGCGGCAGCAGCATGATAAGTCCGTATTTAGACACGCATTTGATGTGTGTTGGGATTGGATTTTGATGGTTTTCCTATCTTTAAGGTGTTACAAGTCTCAATTTTAGCTCAAGTTATGTTTACCAGGCGTTGGTTCGAGTTTTGTGTTGTTTGTAGTCAAAATCAGGGAATTTGAGCCCGACACCGGCACTTGAGGAACAATCGGGATGATTTGAGAAGCATTTGAGAATGATTTGATAGCTTTGGAGGTCACCGGAAGATTCACGATGAAGATTTGAAGGAAAAAGAGCTCTAGGATTGGCTACGGGGTCAAAAGAAGATGAATGAAGATTGAAAACGACAATCAGGATGACCTTCTGTCAATCGTTCAAGCATATCTCTTTGTAGAAACATCCAATGTACACGATTCAAGTTCCATAGGAAAGCCAAGTTCAAGTTCTACAAATCATATGAAGACACCTTTGCAAGAATCTGAGAGGCAGAAAGTGAAAACAGACGATGAAGTCAGATGATCTCTGCTGCGATTTCAGAAAGACACCTTCCACCGTTTTGATCATATCTCTTAATTGGATGATTCAAATAACATTCGGCAAATTGGGGTGGATATAGGACTTCATTATCTACAACTTTCATGAAGGAAGTTTTGTCAAATTCGGAAGTTAAGTAGGCACGATCGTGCCCTCAAAGTCAGACACGAACGTGCCTAAAGAGAAAAGTACCGCGGAGTTACTGCCAGTCAGGCACGATCGTGCCTGGAGGGAGGCACGATCGTGCCTTCCCAAAATGCGCGTTTTTTCTCCGGAGGCACGATCGAAGGCACAATCGTGCCTGACATCGTGTCTGGCTCCGAAAATCCTAATTCAGCTCAAATTTCACCTGATTTTTCTATTTAAACAGCCTGTAAACCCCCGTTTTCGAGGGGGAGCTTAGAGAGAGTGCCTGACACGAATTTTAGAGGGCTTTTCAGCCTTGTTCATCAATCTTTTGGTATTCTTTGTAAGTTCCACCTTTTTAATTAATGACAATTAATTCTATTCTTCCTAATTCTATTGATTCTTCAATTATGAATTGTGAGTAGTTTAATTAGGGATTGAGATTGATGAAGGGGTTGATCATGATGTATGGCTAGTTTCTTGATGGATTAATTGCATGAATGCCGTTTTAATTTGTGTTTGAACAATTTAACTGATATCTTTTATAACCTAGAACGCGCGCTAGAATTACAATTGCTTGTAGAATAAATTAAGAGAGATCTAGTTTATTCTAGGACACCTTCACACACACTTAACCGTTCGCTAAGAGATTAGTAGCGATTAAGGGGCCGCAAGCTCGCTCGTCTTGGCAATAATTTAGGATCCTGTTGCATGAGAGATCAGTCTGGTCCCCTAAATTATTGTACTCTATGCCGCAAGAGCGGTAAGAACTTAGTAATGATTAGCTAGGCTCAATTGAATTAATTTCATGTAATTAGGCCTGATCTGCCAGAAACCTGGTTACCCCGGAATCAATCCCTGTTCCCTTCGTCATTAATTAGAGAGAACCCATTTATTTTAATCGTTTAGTTGCATTTTAATTTTTCATAACAATCATATCTCGCACGACGCATTTATTTTATTTATTTCTTTTAATCGCTGAATTTAATTAATTCTTAATTCCCTTTTGTTCGTCCCTGTGGAGACGATACTCGTACTTACACCACTATATTACGATCTATTTTAAGTGCGAGAAAACTCACATCACAACACTACAACACAATCACTCTGTTTCGGATATTTGGTAGGGTTCTAATGACACCTCCTGGGTTTGTATGAAAGGGATCAATGCTATATTGATATGCGGCAATTAGTTTACGCAAAGTGGTTTTCCCTAGCTTTCATCTAGTGTTTGTCCTTCTGACAGACGGCTTGCGTCGTTTCTTGTAAGGCGAATGATTTGGAGCGACAGTGGAATGGGGTCGTTACCATGCTCTGCTTTGCCATGGTCTGCTCTTCTATGATTGATGTTTCTGGATGTGCTGCTATGGATACAATCTGCAGGTATGTGATTGATACTTTCGATTGGGAAATTGCCTTACAATTCTGGATCGAGTTCTGAGTAAGGGAGGAGACAGATCGGCGATACGCCCCCACCTGAATCGCCGCCCTGGAGAAACCAAGGTGCTAGGGTTTGAAAGATGATACTTCAAGAATATTGGCAAAAGGGAGCTTGAAATATTTGTCAATTATTTTATTATTTATGGACTCACTTTTCGCTTTAAATTTGTTTATGTTGCTCTATTATTGTCGATGTCTTTTGTTTCAGGTTTACAATAAGGATTGACGATTTTGCTAGTTATTATGTCCTAAATCGCACAAGACCACCTTCCTCTTCCTATGTCCCTGATAAACTTCAAAGCCGAAGCCGAGTCAACTTCCACCGTTGATATTATGTAGTTATATATTATATACATTTAATACTACCTCTGTCCCAAAATTAACTTCCCGTTCGGTTTACGATATTTGACTGACGATAAAACAACTCGATCCATGCTCACACTCGGATTATTTTTAGTAAATAAAATTTACATATTCAGAAACTACATTAAAGCCGCTACAAAGCCTGATCAATAAAATTTAAATTTGATAAAAATTTAATATAAAAAGTAAAAGATTACGAGTGATTCAAGTTGACCAATGATTTGAAGTTTTGCTTGAGGGACTAAGCTATTTAGGGAGGGATTTATTGTTATTCTTCGGGTTGGGTTTTAGCTATTTGTTAGTTTTTATTTCCTTTCTGCATTTCTTTATCTCCTTTTTTCCTTGTAACATCTTTCTTTTTTAATAAAGTTTTGCATTTTCAAAAAAAAAGTTGACCAATGAATAGTGATTGTGAAGTTGTTTTTGGGACGGAGAGAGTACATAGTATAATAATATACGTAGTATAATATAGTTTGTAGTATATTAGTAACTAGTAATTAATATAATACTAAACCATTAATAAGTCAAAGGCAATTAGGCATTAGGCATGTTAATTATATGCTAAACCATTATATTAGTAACTAGTTTGTATAGTTTGTATAGTATATTAGTAACTAGTAATTAATATAAAATATTCCTTTTATATACGCCATTAGGCATGTTAATTATATGCTAAACCATTAAGAAGTCAAAGGCAATGAAGTTACACTTTCTTAGGACGATGAACCATAATCGCCCGGAGGGGCAGGGCCGTCGCCGTCGTTTTGCTCTCATACATGGATCTCGGTTGTAATTCGGATGTAAGTCAGCAACTTCATCTCTTTGGCTTTGAATTTCTCTTTTCTTTGTGGTCCCGAGTTTGTCTCAGAGGTTTGTCTCCCTCGTTTTGTGGGGAAGGATTTCGTCCTCGCCGGTTGGTTGACAGCCTGGTCGGGTGTTCTATAGTTACTGTGTTATCAATGGGGTGTGTAAGTTGGAATTGCAGGGGACTGGGGAACCTGCCCACTGTCCAAGTCCTAGCGGATATTGTTTCGACTTATCGCCCTTCCATCGTCTTCCTCATGGAGATGCTCACCGGGCTGTCGAAGATGGAGAGTATTAGAAGAACATTAGGCTTTCAACATGTGTTTTCGGTGGACTGTGTAGGCCGAAGTGGTGGTTTGGCGTTGCTGTGGAAAGATGATCATGATATAACTGTTGAAAGTTCGTCGCTAAACCATATTGATGTGCGGGTCACATGCGGTGTGTCTCAATTAACATGGCGGCTCACTAGGTTTTATGGCTGCCCGGAGAGTAATAGACGCAGGGACTCGTGGGATCTTCTGAAAGAGCTGGCAGATTATAGTGACCTCCCGTGGCTGGTTGTGGGTGACTTTAATGATATTATGCATGAACATGAAAAGAGAGGGCGTTGCCCTAGACAATCGTGGTCCTCGTGGATGATGGCGGGATTTCGTGAGGCGGTGTGGGGTAGTGGATTGATAAATTTTCCTTTTGATGGCTACCAGTTTACATGGGAGAATGGAACTATGGAAGAGACACGCATGATCGGGTGGAAGAAAAACTGGATCGTGTATGTGTTTGCCTCGGACGGATGGATTAATATGTTTGATGATGCGTGGGCAAAAAACAAATATACATATCTCATATCTCTCATTTTGCTAAGAGTCTTTTCAGGTTTTCATCCTAACATCTCTTTTTGTTTTTCCATCCTTTCCAAACTCACTCGTTTTTATAAGTCCTTTTTTGCTTAGATTGCCCGTTTTTGGGTTTTCAACCGAACTAACATTTCTTTTTTTTGCTTTTATTATCATCATCATTAGCCTGCCACGTAAACCCTAGGAATATCTCAGCCTCACTAGAACTCCGCTCAGGCTCTAGGTCTGCTGTGCAGCCCGACCTGATTGTGGGTTCCTATCACATGCTTGATTCCTAATTAGGCCCAATGACTAATTATCGTAATCCCGTTTAGGGCTTGATCCCGTACATGGGCTAATCCTGTTAATTAGGCTAATTCTATTAAGTATTGATCCCGTTTATGGACTAATCCTGCTAATTAGGCTAATCCCGTTAAAGAATGATCTCATTTATAGACTAAATTACGTAATTGGATCATGGTCCGAGTCGATGGTACCATCACAAAATGATGTACTTTAAAAACTATTCCGTATTAAAGACTATTATTGTATATGTACTAGCGAATTGCAAAGTTTTTACAAGAATCGAAATTGTGCGATCTTATTATGTCACCTGATATTGTATGGTCTATTTATTCTAATTTATTTGCTTCTGGTTTTATTTGATGGTCCGATTAACATGTGGAAGAATGTAGTAGGGGTATAAGTGTAAAAGAACTAACAGTCGGTACTGCAATCTTCTTCTACCTGAATCTAACCGAAAAGCTTAGTACTCAGCATAACAACAAAAAGGCGAAGAGGCGTGCAGCCCAAGCCAGAGCCGCCTGAACCCACCCACCCGGCGACCTCCACCCTGCTTACCAACAGAAAGAGAGAGATCATTTTCTCTCTCTAACCCCAAAAATCACCATTAAAATCAATTCTATGAGATTTCTACTCTTAGGCCCCTCTTTTTGACCCACCGACTGCCGGCTGTATAGGATTTCGGGAAGACGATCGCCTTTTTCGGGTAGGGGTAGGGTTTAAATTATTAATTTCTTCAGAAGCTTCGCGTAGTTTTAAGCGTGAGTTCGAAGGCTGGTTGAGTGAATGGAACGTGATGCGGAAGTCTTTTAAGGATTCGCTCAAAGCTCTGGAAGCTGATATTCAGCACGCTAATACTCTGTATGCATCTTATCTTCTTTTCCTTTGCGTTTCTTCTGATTCTGTTTTTGAGCTCACTGTAATTTAATTGCTTAGTTTGAGGGAAAATGATTTTACTGATTATAAATCATTCGAATTGATTGGTACCGTTTTAGAAATTTTCTGTGTATCCTTAGTTTTCACTGGAAGGTCAGGGAATTAAAATTTTCAAACGCGATGAAATTTTTATGCGTTATTTCATGTGTGGACTGTGGACTGATCGATTAATTTCTTTCCAGATATGATTTCTGTGAATTTCTTTCCTTCCATAGTAAAATATGTGCATTTCGTCCTACTTTGGATTGACGTTTTATGAGTAATAACACTGGTTTTTGTTGAGATACACACAGGGCTTCAGATCACCCAAGAGCATATGGGGGTGCTTGCCTTCAAATGAGGCTCTCATACAGTCCCTGTGCTCATATGTTTATGTTTCTTGTTCAATGGGCTGATTGTAAACTTGCTGGTGCTCTTGGTTTGATTAGGATCCTTGTATTCAAGGTAGTAACTAATAGAGTAATATTCAATAGCTTATGAATTTGGAGCTGAAATCACCAAATGACAATTATGATTCATTAATCCTTGATTGTTGCAGGCTTATGAGAATGGTAAGACAAGTATGTGTGTCCATGAAAGAAAAGCTACCATAAGAGAGTTTTATGGTAAGCTAATGATTCTGTGTTAAATGGGGGGGGGGGGGCTGTAATTTATTTCTCATTTACTCTGAGTATATTTTTTTCATTTATTGTGATTTGAGTATATTGATGATCTTGAACAGGTGTGATATTCCCTTCACTCTTGCAACTTCAAAGGGGAATCACTGATGTGGAAGAGAGGAAGCAGAGGGAGATATTTGAGAATAAGTACAGAAAAGGGGATGAGGGCAAAAAGGGAAAGTTATCAGAAATTGAAGTGGAGAGGGAGGAGGAATGTGGGATTTGTTTGGAGTTGGAACCCAAAGTTGTGCTGCCCGGATGCAACCATGCTTTGTGTATGAAATGCTATAGAAACTGGTAAGCATGGAGTTTTCTAGCTTTTATTTCTCCATTGATTTTATTGATCTTTGTTTTATGCCATATAATTATTTCACGCCATAACTTACAACTTAAATTCCCTTACCTGATCTTAACAAAGACCCGCATTAATGGTGATTTATTATCGTTAAATTGTCCTTCAAACTGCAGAGTTATTGGTTGGTTTTTGCTGGTGGGTGTTTATGGCTAGAAACTGCACTTTCATATTCTTTTCAAGCCTAGCAAGCTAATAATTGACTCATTATTTTGTTGGCTGAAACTCACTTGGCCCTGTTTGGATGTGCTTTTGCCTTTTGGGTAGGTCGGTCTTTGGGTGATATTTTTGACAAGTGTTCACTAAAAGTCAAAAGGCACTCATAAGATGACTCTTTTGAGACCAAGCTCTTTACAGGTGTCTCTCTCTGAATTGATTTTCATATAAACATTTCTTTTTCTGGAATTCCACTGAAAATACATTCTGTACGGAGTAATTGTAGTGCCGAACTGTCTTGTACTCCCCCTTCGTTTTCTTGAAGTGCCGCTCTAGTGTTTCTTCACTACGGAGTATTAAATACTAGTACTACGGAGTACGTATTTTGGAATATTATTGGTTTAAAGTTACTGTTCTCCATCCATTAATAACATTCATACACCTAATACTTTTGTACAGAGTAATTTTGGATTCTCTCTATCCTTGTATGACTTTTTCAAAGAAGAATTCCCTACCAAGTCCTAGGCTCCCAGCTTTGATTATTTCATTCCTGAACATCACATTGGTTTTTCTGTTTTCAGATTATTGCTCAATTAGCTCGCTATTTTTATTTGCACTATGGAGTTTGGATTGGTAGTTTTCCCCACCCTCTTTTCTTAAATAACCCAAGCTTCAATTCCATTACAGACATCTAGTCCTCTCAAGTCCTCTGTACCTCTCTTTGGATCTTCCATAGTGTGTTAAGGTTGTGACTATCATATCATCAAGTAGTGTGTGTGGACCTTATTTAATTTGAACTGTTTTGGTCAAAAGTTTAAGAATAACCAAATAAGGAAAACTAACAGTGGGGACAAAGCTTGCAAAATTGAATTCATCCACTAACAATTGATGGGCAAGGGCAGGTGCCCTCTGGCTTGGGGTGCATTTTTTTTTTTTACTTTTCTTTGGTTTACAGTAATATAAATCAGCTAATTGATGGTGGTGGATTGGGTGTATTGTAGGCGTGCTCGGTCCCAGTCATGCCCTTTCTGCCGAGATAGTCTGAAAAGAGTGAATTCTGGAGACCTTTGGATATGCACCAACTCTCAGGAAGTCATTGATTTGGCAGCCATTTCAAAGGAGAATTTGAAGCGGCTTCTGTTATACATCCAAAGCTTGCCTCTCCTCCCGGCAGATTCAACACTCGTTTCATATGATCCCGCCTGTAGATGACATCCAACTTTTATATCAATATATATACACAAATATATATTATTATTACAATATAAATTATAGGTTTACAGATCGTGGTCCTCCCTTTGCACATAAACCATCCTAGCCTACAAGGCTACAATTGCGGATTTTTTAGTTTTCTTTTAATATTATACTCCGTATATTTAGTGTTGGTCATAGAGACTCATAGCCTCCAAATATTTGGAAGAAGTCATCTACTTGTATTTATTTTACATACTCCATTAGTCCGTTATAGTAAGAAATTAACTGGGAAAGTTCTCAGATCTTCTGAGGAAATTTTTGTTACTTTTGTGTAATCTAACTTCCCAAGCAAACTTTGAAAGTTCTGAAATATAGATACTAGTAGGGGTGGGAAAAAAACCTAAAAACCAAAACCGCCCGAAACGCTCGAAACCGAACGGACTAAATTTAACCGAAATGAAAACCAACATAAGTTTAAACGGGTCGGTCGTCGGTCGTCGGTTTTACATACGATAGTATTAGGCGTCGGTTATAAACCGACGGACCGAGGAAGTAATATCCGTAGCTATTCTTCCCTTGTTGCTCTTCGCTTGCTGTTCTTTGCACAATTGTTCCTAGCACGAAACGGTACTGCCCAAGCTATTCATGGACAGCTCAAGAAAAGATATTTTTGTTCTCAGTGATTCCCTGTTTCGACCGGCTCTTTCCATATGTTTGAATGTGTTTCAAACATTCAAGAATGTTAAGTGAAAGTATTTGACCTTCTTGCCTCCAAGTGTTCGTCAAAATTCCAATAAGAAATCAAAGAACTTGGTTTCATAGCTGATTAATTTAATTTTACATTTTTTTATTCTCATAATTCTTCAACCTTGTTGTTGCTCTTTTTTAATGAAAGAATATATGCAGCCCTTTTGACCATTCAGAACGTAGTATTACTACATGAATCTACTAAAGAATTTTTTTTGGGGGATTAGTATAGCTTTTTGAAACTTTTAAAATCTATAATGATTTGGTGCCAGGTATTTTAAGTTATCAACATTGAAGTATTGTTATTTTACTGGTGTTAGTATACATGTGTATATTGAATGAGCATATCAGGTGGGGAAAAATCCTTTCTGCCAGGCATCTCTGTATTTTGTCAAGCATAGGTGGGTAAACCGAAAACCGACTGAAAAAACCGACTATGAAAACCGGCCGACCGAATTCCATTCGGTTCGGTTACTGGTTCTCACTTTTGAAAACCGAAAAAAAAAAACCGACCGAAACCGACAGAACCGAACCGACGAACACCCCTAGATACTAGTATAACATAGATCAAAAGACTATTATTGAATATTGATAAAGAATAGTCAAGAATAAGATAAAAGAATAGAGGTTTCTTATTAATGAGAAAAAGTTATCCTATGAATGATTAAAAACTTCATCAGTTTTTCAATCTTTAGCCTAATTATTTCCCCCCAAAACAATACAGAGTACTTCAATTCGTAATTCAACAACGACATTCAAGTCTTATTTAAAAAAAAAATTGGGGCCAATTAATAAGAATTGCTCGACAAATTCATATAAAATTTAAATAATATGTATAATCAATAAATAATTATACTTAGTATATATATGGACTATGTGAGTGTCCTAATTTTGTACTGATCATATTCTTTGTGAATCACATTTCCAGACGATCTTGATTTAAGTCTTGGGGTGGGTATATTGAGGGGATTGCACATTATTTTGAGCCTGTTTGGTAGCACGAAAATCGGTCGTTTTGGCCGATTCTACTGATATTTATGGATTGACTGATTATTCAGGAGCCAACATTCACACTGATCGTACCCTTAACACACTTTGATCACATCTTGACCAAATTTGATAATAAACTTGCGGGCTGGAAGCACAGGATCCTCTCGACTGGGGGAGGATAATCATGATCAATCATGTTCTTAACTCCCTTCCCCTTTATCATATGGCTGTTTCCCCTTTCTCTTCTACTATTATGCACAATATGGAACGTAAACTAGCTAATTTTCATTGATCATAAGAAGCACATTTGACGAATGTGGGCCAGAATTTGTTGCCCTATTTCTGAACACGGGCTTGGTTTTAGGAGCCTCATGCATATTCAGAGAACTTTTTTATGAAACTTTTATGGAAGCTTAATAACGGTAAATGGATTTGGGCTGATTGTTTCAACTCTCATAAAGATACTACTCGCTCTATCATGCATAATCCTTCTGCTTCTGTCCAACAAACTTTTGATAATAATTGTTGTATACAGGTTAGCATTTAGCAATGGTATTAGTTCATTTTGGTACTATAATTGAAGCAATCTTGGCCCGCTTTATCACTACTGGGGGGATATACCCCCATTGCTCCTAATTTGGCCATTAAGGAGGCTAGGCCTAGTACTGTTTTTATCCTTTCTGTTCAAAGCAATCTGCCTCGTTACATTGTTGACATTATTCATGCGATAAAAATTCAGTACGGTGCTAACAATGATACCATTATTTGGCAACCCAACCCAAATGACATATTCAGTTTTGATAGTGCCTATGATGTCCTTAGACCCAAAAATAATTTGATTGATGATGCCAAGTTCTTATGGAATAACCGGACCCAAACAAAAAATCTCTTTCTTCTTATGGAGACTGTTGGGGATCGATTCCGTCGCCGGATTCCGGCTCAGGCAGTCCGGAGATCGGTTTCCGGTAGTCTCCTTGTGCACACCAAGGCTAAGGGAGCAACAACCTATTCTACCTTCTCAACACTCCTCTCACTCAGCTTTACAAAGAAGGAGTTCTCACCGTCTATCTCAAAAAGCTTCAAGAGGTGGTGGATATATACAGCTAGAGCAAGGAAGGAGCAACTGTCGGTAGAGAACAATAGCACATGAAGTAGGATGCAGGGAAGTCTCATAATAAAGAAGATTTGGCTTATTAGCTCAAGGGATTGGACGGTACAAGGGACAACACAATCACACACCTCACTTATTTGATCTCACTTATTTGAGTTCAAATTCAAACGGGAGAAATAGACTTGGTACAAAACAAGTTTGGTAACTGGAGTAAGAGTAGTGGGTTGCTGAATAGGTTGTCAACTATTATTAATATACAAAGGCTATTTGGGCCAATAATATATTAACAATCTCCACCTTTGGCCCAAGGTAGTGCACTGAGACAATTCACGGAACCGCGGACTCATCATTGCCGGATCATTACAAGTATAATCACAAAGACAATACAAGTAATAGAGAGACACAAGTACTCTCGGGGTAAAATTACCAAGCTTACCGAGTCCATAAAGGACTTAACTCTACCATAAGGTCCTCGAGTTCAAAACCGAAACCATCACAATGCTATTAACAAACACAAGGTATGTTAATAGACCACGCAGGCAAGCATCCGGGAAAAGTTGGGGATTCCAACTAATCCAACAACCACACAAAGCAAGTACACAGAAAATAAAAGAAACAATATTATTTCTATAACTAGCACAGGTAGAGCTCACATAATCACTTGGTATCACATTTTCAAAACACAAAGAAAATAGCATACCAAGTATCACAAAGATTTTAATTAAAAGAGAATTAAGCACATTTAAAGCAGACTCAAAGGAAATATAGCACATTCTCACATGCTTCCTAATGTCTCTATCTCTAATAACAGGGCAATTACGCAACTCAAGCATATTGCACACAACATTCATATCATGCTCCACCTTAATAGTGTAACACCGCCCCCAAGTATTTGTACTTTATCAAATTATGTATGGAACCCAAGAAATGAATAAACGCATTTTACGTGATTGTGAAATTTTATCATTTCTTTTACGTGAATAGTAAAATTCACGTGGGGCCCACACCGGAAGTGGGGGCCGCCCGATATTATCGGGACCACATATTATATTCATTTGGGTCAAAATAATATGTGTATAATGGTGGATAGCCGGGTTGGGCCATAGAAGTTATGTGAGTAACCTTTTGGGCATATAAAGCCCATTTATCGGTACCGAAGTGATATCAGATAAAAAGCCATAATAAATTATGGAGACCATCAAATTAAAGTTGGGGAATATACATTCAATCTAATGGCCAATAATAGTTGGAAGAATGATACACATTTCATTTGAACCGATAAAATGAAATATAGCTAAAACAGTCCAGAAAATACAACTTTCGGGACCAAGTGTACACTCGGGGACATAAAGGGATGACCTCCCACATGAGTGGGGGCCACCCCACGACCTTGAGCTGCAAAATATCAAGGGGATCCGCACCATATCAAGGGGAAAGAGGGTGGAAGTGATTGGAGACCAAGTTGATAGGAAAAGGGGTCCCTCTCCCCCATATTATTGATGAATGAGCCAAAAGAGCTATTCACAACCACCCCAGCCCCTGTCCCTCGTCCAGACCAGATGCATTGAGGAGAGAAGGTCTGCAAAAGACTCCATTTCATCCTCCATACACGCACCAAACCAAGAGGAAGAAGAAGGAGGATAAAAGAGAAGAGAAAAGAGGAGTTTCGGGTGGAGAAAGCTTGTGGTTAGCAAGGTAAGGACTTCATGAATCCCATTTCTTCTCCTTAATCATATTTCACACTCCTAGGATAGTTCTACACATGTAAAAGTGTAGAATGGGGGTTGAAGGGTTGGCTTATACCCAAAACGAACCTTGAGAGACAAGTTGACGGGTTCACCGGAAAATAACCTTCGGGAGGTTATTTGTGGTGATATGGGTTTTATGATGATAAAACCTTGTTATTAACTTGTATAAGGTACTTCAAGAACTTTCACGGAGTTGAAAGAGTTGCCGGAGTTGTCGCCGGAGTTCATTGAAGTTCACCGGAGTTTCACCGGAGCTCAATCGGGAAGGGCTAGAACTCCATAAGCTTCATTAAGGTGAGAAGACGGCTATATGCCTTATAACTTTTGATTGAGGCATGAGATTACCTAAAGTAATCAAGGATATGTTTTACGGAATGATTAAAGTTAATCAAGTATGAGCTTATGCCATGAATATATATAAAACAAAGTTGAAAGGCATGTTTGTATGTTTGGTGATTACAAATGTGATAACTTATTATGTACAATGATCCAGGGGTCAAAAATGGTATTTTTGGATCAAGGACTTCAAGTAGAATGTGCATATAAAATTTCACGTTAATCGGACTTCGTTTGGGCGGTCAAACGGGCGTTGACCGCCGAGACAAGGGTGATACCCGACCGGGTAAGATGGATACCCGACCGGGTATTGATTAAAAATGGCTCCAGAAGCCACTGCCACACTAGACCCGACCGGGTAAGGTCATGGACCCGACCGGGTCTCAAGTAAAGTTGTTTC